TAGGTGAGAAGGGAGAAGAAAATAGACAGTGAGCTGCCCACACAGCGAATTAGTCAATGCCATAGGTCTACATGAGTCAGAGTATTCTGACTGTTGCTTTGCTTCTGCTGTCCATTATGATAACCATGTCCACCTTGCCTTGTCAACTGAGTCCCTTCACTTGGCCTCTGCTACCCTAGGATCCAGTTATTACCACTGCATTTAAATTTTTCCGTTGACCGACTGCAGTTCCCATTTTAAGGTCCGGCCTACAGAGAAGGGCAATCATGGCATTTAGGGATGATGGGGTTCTCCTCACAAACCTGTTTCTCAGAGTACTGCTGAAAAGCATGTGGTCTGGACCCACCCAGTGTGAATAAGTAGATTTTAAATGACAAATCCACTCTAGCAACCCAGTCTCCTCCCTAAGCCTTTGAATCTCTTCCTCTGTGTTAACCAAGGTAGATCAGACACCTCCAGCTGGCTCACAGTAGGCCATCTTTTCATCCATGTTTCAGCCAACTAACCAAATAAACTGTTGCCTTTTCTTTTTTTTGAGACAGAGTCTCGCTCTGTCACCCAGGACAGAGTGCAGTGGCGTGATCTTGGCTCACTGCAACCGCCACCTCCTGGGTTCAAGTGATTCCTCTGCCTCAGCCTCCCAAGTAGCTGGAACTACAGGCACATGCCACCACATTCAGCTAATTTTTTTTTTCCAGTATTTTTAGTACAGACAGGGTTTCACCGCATTTTGGCCAGGCTGGTCTTGAACTCCTGACCTCATGATCTGCCCACTTTGGTCTCCCAAAGTGCTGGAATTATAGGCGTGGGCCACCATGCCTGGCCAACTGTTGCCTTTTCTAACTCCCTGAGCTGCAACATTAAATGCAGAATGTGTTTGGTGGGCCAGTAACAATAAATTCAGCCAGGCGCGGTGGCTCATGCCTGTAATCCCAACACTTTGGGAGGCCGAGGCAGGTGCATCACAAGGTCAGGAGATCAACAGCATCCTGGCTAACACAGGTGAAACCCCGTCTCTACTAAAAATATAAAAAATTAGCCAGGCGTAGTGGCAGGTGCCTGTAGTACCAACTACTCGGGAGGCTGAGGCAGGAGAATGGCGGGAACCCAGGAGGCGGAGCTTGCAATGAGCCGAGATTGCGCCACTGCACTCCAGCCTGGGCGACAGAGCAAGACTCCATCTCAAAAAAAAAAAAAAACAATAAATTCAGCCTGACTCAAGTTTATGTTCCTTCCATCATTATCTCACACCCTAAATATCTATTCCCATACCTGTTTTCCAGATTTCTGCTTGTATAAATTAGAAAACTCAAGTAGCTTTTTTAGCACATAGCACATCTCCTCATGGGTAAAACTTTGTACCTCATCTTTAGGGGCTGCTGGGACTCAAGTCTAGCTATAGGTCTAGAAGCAAAGAGGGGTGGTGGGCATGGGTCCTGAGAAGACTCAGCATCCTCTTGCTTAGCAGTTGCCTCCAGGAAGGCCATTACAGTTTCCTCAAGCAATGCAAAGTCAATCCCCTCAGACAAAGGTGGAAAGGCCAGTGTAAGGGGGATGCTGTTACTGGGGGAGGGAGGCCATTTCTGCTGGCAAACAAGACTCATCAGAATTTAGGAGCTCAATGTCCCCAGCCTCATCAGGGTCTGCCCACACATCCCCATCCAAATGTATAGAATTCCATTCTTTCCCAACCAATGCTCTCATTTTAACAGCAGACACCTTACAAGGCTGAGATTTCAACTTTGATTGTAATTCAGCTAATCACATGATGAGAGCATGTGTTTGATTTTTTGCAATTTCAGACCTGTGGAAACAGAAGAGAAGACTCTGACTTAGGGCATACTTAGAAGTTCTTGGGCTATTTATGGCAGAGCTGGGGCCAGGAAATCAAAACCCTGAGCTCACCCTTTTCTTTCATCACTTTGTGTGGCAACATTAGAAAACCTTGGTTTTCTACAAATGTTTGACAGTATCAAATACAGGGTTGCCAAGTTCCTTGCCTCTTACAGGTGGTAAATTAGAAGTATCAAGTGTAGATTTTTTGCATATCTCTATATAAACAGTTCACAGTATGGACTATCAGTGCTCTCTGTACTATTTATTAGAAGTAGGGTCCTTAGCATTTTTAAGTCTCATCAAATCAGAGAGCCAATTCTGGGAACCCCAAAACTAATTAAGGAAACTCATCCTTAAAATTATCTTCCTCAGGCTGGGCGCAGTGGCTCACACCTGTAATCCCAGCATTGGAAGGTTGAGGCAGGAGGACTGCTTGAGCCCAGGAGTTTTGAGACCAGCCTGGGCAACACAGGGAGACTCGATTCTATAAAAAATAAAAAACACAAAAATTAGCTGGGTGTGGTGGCATGCGCCTTTGGTCCCAGCTACTCATGAGGCTGAGGTAGGAGGATCACTTAGGCCTGGGAGGTTAAGGCTGCAGTGAGCCATGATCATGCTACTGCACACCAGCCAGGGAGACAGAGCAAGAACCTGTCTCCAAAAAAAAAAAAACTAGAATCATTCCTGGTACCAAATCTGTGTTAATCAGAGTTCTCCAGAGAGACAGAACCAATAGGAGAGAGAGAAAGATAAATATGAGGGGATTTATCAGGGGAACTGGCTCACATGATTATGGAGGCTGAGAAGTCCCATTACAGGCCATCTGCAAGCTGGGATGCCAGTAGTGTGGCTCAGTCCAAGTCCTCAAGCCTCAGAACCCAGGAAACCAATGGTGTTAACTCTCAGTCCAAGATTGAAGGCCATAGGGGGTGGGGAGTATTGGTATAAATCCTGGAGTCCAAAGGCTGGAGTTCTGATTTCCAAGGACAGAATAAGAGTGTGCTCTAGCTCCAAGACAAAGAGAGGTAAAATTCTTTTTTCTTTCTTTTTGTTCTATCCTCAGCCAATTGGATGGTGCTTACTCACATTGAGGGGCGATCTTCCTTACTCAATCCACTGACTCAAATGCTAATCTGCTCAGGAAATATCCTCATAGACACATCCAAAATAATGCTTTACCAGTTCTCTAGGTATTCCTTAATCCAGCCAAATTGACACCTAAAATTAATCATCACATATATTAAGGCGATGGGACAAACAAGCTCACCTTAAGAGAATGAATACAGAGAAGAAAAGGAGGCCCAAGTCTGAGCCCTGGAACACTTAACATTTAGATATTGAGCAAAACAGCTTAAAGTTAGGAAGAAAATCAGGAAAGTGTGATGTCTTAACAGCCAAAACAATAAACTGCTTCTAAGAAGAAGTGTCTATGACTAATGCTGCTAAGAGGTCAAGTAAGGTAAGAAGAGAAAAGTGGCCACTGGTTTAGGAGTCTCCATGGAGTGGTGGAGACGGAAGCCTGACTGGAGTAGAGGAAAATTTGTGTTCAATGAATTATTGTAGAACACTGATTAGTCAGCACAATTCAGGTGCAAAGGTATTAATTTCTTTAGCTCTTTACCAGAAACTAAAATAGTGCCTCCAAATTTATGCCATATTTGCATAAAATATAGCATTATTTTTTCTAAAGATATTAGGCTGGAAAGGCAGTAAACAGCCAGATGAATCTGGATTTAAACTCTTCCTCTACCACTTTCTAACTATGAGGCTTTAGGCAAGTTCCTTAACCATGTTAACCCTTAGTTACCTCATCTATAAAATGGGAATAGTAATAATACCTACCTCATAAGGTTGTTGTGAAGAATAAATGATATAATGCATGTAAAGGGCTTAGTACAAGAAAGTCAGTAAATGTTATTGTTAACTGTTATTTTCTTTTTGTTAAATAGTTCCTTTTTTAAAAAATCATAAGGCTTTATTGTAATTGGGCTACTTTAATTATTAAAATTAAATGTGGAAATTTCTTATGCAGTTTTCTTAACCTTTTAAAAATATGTGCAAATATAGGCTGGGCGCGGTGGCTCACGCCTGTAATCTCAGCACTTTGGGAGGCCAAGGCGGGTGGATCATGAGGTCAGGAGATCGAGACCATCCTGGCTAACACGGTGAAACCCCGTCTCTACTAAAAATACAAAAAATTAGCCAGGCGTAGTGGCGGGCGCCTGTAGTCCCAGCTACTCAGGAGGCTAAGGCAGGAGAATGGCATGAACCCGGGAGGCGGAGCTTGCAGTGAGCCGAGATTGTGCCACCGCACTCCAGCCTGGGCAACAAAGCGAGACTCCATCTCAAAAAAAAAAAAATGTGCAAATATAAAAAGTCATATATCCATCACTTAAAAGACGCTAATATGCCCATATGGAAAGCATGATACAGGCTGGGAACTGCTTTATCTTCAACATATCCTCATCAACCAAAATTATGTTGAGTTCTGCTTTCTAAAGTCTGCATTAAGGAAGATAAAAGGGTTATTCGAATGATAGATTCATTTTTACCCTTAGAATATGCCCGTGACGGCCAGATGCGGTGGCTCACGCCTGTAATCCCAGCACTTTGGGAGGCCCAGGCAGGCGGATCACAAGGTCAGGAGATCGAGACCATCCTGGCTAACACGGTGAAACCCTGTCGCTACTAAAAAAAAAATGCAAATAAATCAGCCGGGCATGGCGGCATGCGCCTGTAGTCCCAGCTGCTGGGGAATAACAAGTTTTCAGGATAGAAAGTTAATTTTTTATTTTCAATGGTTTTTCTCTAAATGTATGATTTACTAACCAGATAATTAAAAAAAAAAAAAAAAAAAAAAAAAAGAATATGCCCATATGCCCATGACATCTACGTACTTTATAAGGTCAACTGTATGCTTCTTACTCCCTTACATTTTGGGATTTTAGCCTTTTCATTTACTTTCTACATTTTTTTAAGTTGCCATTTTTATACAAAATGTTTAAATACTTAATGTATAGAAAAAAGAATTAGCCAGACTGGAAATTATGTACATAAACGAAAATATGAAAAATTGTATAAAGATTTAAATACAGAAATATCTGTATACCCAGAATAAAAATAACATCAGTAGAGCACTAGCCAAAAGACTGAAAAGTACTTACCGCAAAGTCAAAGTATAATCTCCCTGCATTTTTGTTGAGGCATCTCGGACCAAGAAGGTCCCATCTGGCATATCCCGCAATTTGTCATTTACCTCCTCCCTGAAGAACAGAATTATAAGAAAAATGAAAAAATGTCAACACTGGTTGTCTTTACATGTTACTACTAAGGCTGCTTTGGCAGTAGGTTATAGAATAATGGAGCCCTTTAGAGGTCATTTAGTTCTTCCCTGCATTAAATATGCTCTTTCTGTTTTGATTTTTGGTGGTAAGCAATCTACAGAAGAGCTATTTGATTTTTAAACTCTTCCAGATTTCAAATGTGTATAACAGATACTGTTTCCATCAAGCCTCTAGGGCTTCCTTAGGCAGGTCTGAACTTGTAAAGTTTCAGGAAAAAAACAGCGGCTGTTTAGAAGGTTATATTTAAGCAACAGTGGCAGCTGTTTCTGAACAGAAGGGGGAAAATTCACTAAGTTCATAACCTTTCAATAGGATTTTCTCCTAGTTTAAATTTGTCCCGATAACAAATTCCTTCTGTATAGAAATTTAAGGAACACTTAAAGGAAATGGCAGGGCATAAAAGACCCTTGAATCATATTAGAACCATGTGATCTTAAAATAAAAAATAATAGACTGTTTTATTGTACAATATTAAAATAGAAATATTCTAATCAATTTTAAAATAAAATGGCTTGGTGCAGTGGCTCACGCCTATAATCTCAGCATTTTAGGAGGCTGAAGCAGAGAGGTCACTTGAGGTCATGAGTTCGAGACCAACCTGGCCAACATGATGAAACCCTGTCTCTACTAAAAATACAAAATTAGCCAGACGTGGTGGCCGAGCAAGTGCCTATAGTCCCAGCTACTTGGGAGGCTGAGACAGGAGAATCACTTGAACCCGGGAGGCAGAGGTTGCAGTGGGCTGAGATTGCACCATTGCACTCCAGCCTAGGAGACTGAATGAGACTCTATCTCAAAAAAAAAAAAAAAAAAAAAGTTTTTAATGAAATGTATTAAGTCCTCTTCAAAAAATTAAACACAGAATTACTTACCATATGACCTGGCAATTCCATTCCACTACTGGGTATATACCCAAAATAACTGAAAGCAAGGACTGAGATATGTGTGCACCAATATTAACTGCGGCATTATTTACAACAGCCATAAGTTAGAAACAATCCAAATGTCCAGATTGGATTAAATGGACAGAATGGATTAAAACAATATATAGCATACACATATAATAAGATATTAGCCTTAAGAAGGAATGAGGCCGGACGCGGTGGCTCAAGCCTGTAATCCCAGCACTTTGGGAGGCCGAGACGGGCGGATCACGAGGTCAGGAGATCGAGACCATCCTGGCTAACACGGTGAAACCCCGTCTCTACTGAAAAATACAAAAAACTAGCCGGGTGTGGTGGCGGGCGCCTGTAGTCCCAGCTACACAGGAGGCTGAGGCAGGAGAATGGCGTAAACCCGGGAGGCGGAGCTTGAAGTGAGCTGAGATCACACCACTGCACTCCAGCCCGGGCGACAGAGCGAGACTCTGTCTCAAAAAAAAAAAAAAAAAGAAGGAATGAAATTCTGATACATGCTATAACATGAATGAACCTTGAAGATGTATGAAGAAAGTGAAATAAGCCAGTCACAAAAGGACAATTATTATATGATTACACTTATGCAAAGTACCTAGAATTGAATTCATAAGACAGAAAGCAGAATGGTGGTTGCCATGAGCTGAAGGAGGGGAGAATGGAAGGTTATTGTTTAATGGGTACAGAATTTCAGTTAGGGAAAATAAAAAAGTTCTGGAGATGGATGGTGATGATGGCTGCACAACAATGCAAATATACTCTTAAAACAGTTGAAACTGTAAGAGTAAAAAAAAATTAAATAAATACCATTTTGGTAGAGGAAGAGAACAGAGAAGAGAAAGGGATAGATAAGTGTGTTGAGGAATACAGCATCAACCTGGAAACTGATGTGACAGAAATGGATAGGCCTTTAAAAAGAAAATACATCTAAGACCCATTAAAGCAAAGTTTAACAAGAAAAAAATTTAGTAAGAAAATACAATATTCAAATTAAATGTATATAATTCCCTCTTTGGGTTCAAAATTATCTAAAACCACACTTTACCCAGAAAACAAATCTGTCCTAGAGTCCTGTTTATCAAATTGGGGTGTGTAAAGAGACTGCATCAAATTTACCCAGGGAAGCTGTTAAATGCAGATTCCTGGGCTCCACCTCAACTGATTTTTGTGCATGCAAAGACTTTGGAATCACTGGCTTAGAGAAAGAAAGGTACAGAAATGTAAGTACCTACAAATATTTTTAATTCTAAAACACATGTAACTATCCTAAATGTCTAAGTGTCACTTATTTAGAAATCCATCCTCAATATAGTATTAGAAGTAATAATCACACTCATAATTTAAAGATTTTCAGCCAGGCACAGTGGCTGACACCTGTAATCCCAGCACTTTGTGAGGCCAAGGCAGGTGGATCACCATAGGTCAGGAGTTCGAGAACAGCCTGGCCAACATGGTGAATCCCTGTCTCTACTAAAAATACAAAAATTAACAGGGCATAGTGACACATGACTATAATCCCAGCTACTCGGGAGGCTGAGGCAGGAGAATCGCTTGAATCCAGCAGGCAGAAGTTGCAGTAAGCTGAGATCATGCCACTGCACTCCAGCCTGGGCGACAGAGTGAGACACCGTCTCAAAATAAATAAATAATGAAGATTTTCTTGTCATTTTTTCATGGGAAGAAAAGTGTTAAGACATTTATGAAATGTTCCCACACAAAATTTTTTACATGAGCATTTTTTCTGTTTTTTTTTCGAGATAGTGTCTCACTCTGTCGCCCAGGCTGGAGTGCAGTGGTACTATCTCAGCTCACTGCAACCTCCACCTCCCGGGTTCTAACAATTCTCCTGCCTCAACCTCCCAAGTAGCTGGGATTACAGGCGCATGCCAACATGCTCGGCTAATTTTTGTATTAGTAGAGACAGGGTTTCACCATGTTGCCCAAGCTGGTCTCAAACTCCTGAGCTCAGGCAATCCACCCGCCTCAGCCTCCCAAAGTGCTAGGATTATAGGTGTGAGCCACCGCACCTGGCCTAAAATGGTAATCTTTAAATAAAAATTAGTAGGGCACTACAATACTTTTTTTTTTTTTTTTAGATTTGGGGGGTCGGGGCCGGGAGCGGTGGCTCACGCCTGTAATCCCAGCACTTTGGGAGGCCAAGACAGGCGGATCACGAGGTCAGGAGATCAAGACCATCCTGGTGAACACAGTGAAACCCCGTCTCTACTAAAAATACAAAAAAATTAGCCGGGCGTGGTGGCAGGCGCCTGTAGTCCCAGCTTCCAGGGAGGCTGAGGCAGGAGAATGGCATGAACCCGGGAGGCGGCCGAGCTTGCAATGAGCGGAGATCGCGCCACTGCACTCCAGCCTGGCCGACAGAGCGAGACTCCGTCTCAAAAAAAAAAAAAAAAAAAAAAGATTTGGGGGGTCTTACTCTGTTGCCCAGGCTAGAGTGCAACAGTGCTCTTTATAGCCTTGAACTCCTGGTATCACGTGCTTCTTCAGCCTCAGCCTCCTGAGTTGCTGGGATTATAGGCATAAGCCACCATGCCTGGCTTAAAATGGTTTACTTTACCTACTAATTCTCAAAAATGACTTTTTAAAAAACTGCATTCAATTACAGTAGCATTCTAGTTACCTTGAAATATCCCCCCAGTACCATTCTGCATCCTGAAGAGAAACAGAACTGTCCTTCATTCCATTTGTAACTGCTGAAGTCATTGGCTTAGGTGGCTTTGGTGGAAGAGCTAGAAGAGAAATGAATATTACTCTGTAGATGTAAATTATTTTTTGTTTTCTAATTTCCTCTGAAGCAGCTCACTAACCAAGGTATGTTAAGATTCTAATAATTATCAATCAAATTGAGTATTATTTTATGTTAAATGTTAGCAACAGAAGGAATCCTTTTGATTGCCTAAAAAGTGAAAATGTCAAGATATTTGGTTTTTTCCTTCTTACGAAACACCGACTTCTAAGTCTGTACAACTTCATCATCTCTCAAAAGCCAACATGCAACCCCTTTCCAAACAACTCAGTCCAAAAGCCACTAAGTGACCAACGTACAACATGAGAATTATAGTTAATAATATTGTATTATATACTGGTAATCTGCCAAGTGAGTAAATTTTAGGTATTCTTACTACCAAAAACAAAAAAGGTTAACTATGAAATGATGGGTATGTTATTAATAATTTGCTCAACTGTAATAGAATGAAGCCTCTTATTTTGGACTGGAATTACAGCTACTGATATCAACTCATGAATTTCAATGTATATACACATAAATATGTAAATGTCTGTACACAGCATACATATATTCCCTAGCTCTGTTCCCTGAGACAGAGATTCCCTAACCCCTGGGCCGCGGACTGGCACTGGTCCATGGCCTATCAGGAAAAGGGCCACACAGCAGGAAGTGAGCAGTAGGCGAGCGAGCATTACTGCCTGAGCTTCAGCATTAGATTCTCATAGAAGCACAAACCCTACTGTGAACTGCACATGCGAGAATCGAGGTTGTAATCGAACCTTTTGAAAATCGAGTTCTTTTGAAAATCGAACGAATGCCTGATGATCTGAGGTGGTACAGTTTCATCCTGAAACCAATACCCCCACCCCGACCCCACCCCAGCAATGAAACCGGTCCCTGGTGCCAAAAAGGTTGGGGACTGCTGCCCTGAGAGGTCCTGGGGGCAACAACACCCCAATATGTACACTGAGCACCTTGACCTTGCTTTCTAATACCATTCTCTACTAAAAGGAACCAGGGCTCTTTGAAGAAATGGCTGATTCCAGGGACAGAATAGAGCAAGTACCAAACGAGCCTGAACATCATCTTGTGCCAAAAAGGAAGGAAGTGCTCAAAGAATGGGAGAGGCTATGTTAAAAGAACAAAATGGTGAGCCTGAAGGGGCTGGCTCTCACTGACCAAATCTGGAACAGCTGGCCTATCAATACAAATAATAATAGTAAAGAAATATAACTCATTAAACAAAATAGGAATATATGTGTCCATGCAGATATAAATAAATAAATAAAAGAAACAAAGATCGATGAGGACCAAGATTACTATTATCTCAATATACTGTCCCACAAAATCCTAATTGCAAAAGGAAAAACAATAATAGTGAAAAAGCCTGGCAAATACCATCTTAATCAAGAATCAAGGTTAATATTAGAAATAATGGGGAAACTGTGGGCCCCAATACAATGCACTAGGAAGGATATAACATCACTTCTGTGACATCCCTGCCAAATACGCATAAACTGAATCTAATCATAAAGAAACACCAGACAAACCATGACTGAGGGGCATTCTACAAAATAACTGACCTGTAATCTTCAACAATGTACAGGTCATGAGGGTCAAGGAAAGACTGAGGAAATGTTTCAGATTGAAGAAGAAGACTAAAGAATCCTGACAATTAAATGCAGTGTGTAATTCTGGACTGGATCTTTTTTGCTATTAAGGACAACACTGGGACAATGGGCAAAACTTGAATGGGATCTGAGTATGACCATAGTAGTAATACAGCAATGTTAGTTTTCTGATTTTGATGGTTATATTGTGCTTCTGTAGGAAAATGTTCTTGTTTGTGGGAAATACACACAAACATGGTCATCATATGGCATCATGCTGACAACTTACTCTCAAATGATTCAAAAAAATTACGTTCTTTGAACTGTACTTGTAACTTTTTTGAGATTGTTTCTTTTTTCTTAATCAAAAAATTGTAAGCAATCTTGGGGTGAAGGAGAACAATGTGAATATTTTCCCCCAAACAGAAGTCCCTTAGTTGGCCGGGTGTGGTGGCTCACACCTGTAATCCAAGCACTTTGAGAGGCGGAGGCAGGCAGATCAACATAGGTCAGGAGTTCGAGACCAGTCTGGCCAACATGATGAAACCCCATCTCTACTAAAAATACAAATATTAGCTGGGCATGGTGGTGCACATCTGTAATCCCAGCTACTCGGGAGGCTGAAGCAGGAGAATTGCTAGAACCCCGGAGGCAGAGGTTGCAGTGAGCCGAGATTGCACCACTGCACTCCAGCCTGGGAGACAGAGTGAGACTCTGTCTCAAAAATAAATAAATAAAGTCCCTTAGTCAACTGATTTTCAACATGGGTGTCAAGATAATTCAATGAGGGAAAGAATAGTCTTTTTAACAAATTGTTCTGGAACAAGTGGATATCCACATGCAAAAAGAATGAAGTTGGATCCCTGCCTCACACCAAAATTAACTAAAAATGGATCAAAGACCTAAATGTCAAGACCTAAAACCATAAAATTCTTACAAGAAAAAATAGGCTTAAATATTTGTGACTTTATATTAGGTAATGGTTTCTTAAATAGACACTGAAAATAACAAACAAGAAAAAAATAGATCAACTGCATCAAAATTAAAAACTTCTGTACTCCAAAGGACATCATCAAGAAAGTGAAGAGACAACCTACAGGATGGGAGAATGTTTTTGTAAGTAGAACTGATAAAATATATTTTTGTAAATATTTGTAATTGTATCTGTAAATATATTTTTGTACGTGTATCTAGAATACATAAAAGACCTCTTTTAATTCAATAAAAGACAAATGACCCAATTAAATATGGGCAAAGGATCTGAATATATATTTCTCCAAAAGACAAACAAGTAGCCAATAAGCACATGAAAAGATACTGAACATAATCAGCCAACAGAGAAATGCAAATCAAAACCACAGTGAAATACCACTTCACACCCACTAGGATGACTATAATCAAAAAGACAGATAATAACAAGTGTTGGTGAGGATGTGGAGAAATTGAAATACTCATAGACTGCTGGTGGGAATGTAAAATGATGCAGCTGCTTGGAAAACAGTCTGGCTTCCTCAAAAGGCTAAATGCAGAGTTGCCCAGCAATTTCACTCTTACATATACCCAAGAAAAAAGAAACGTATATCTACACAAGAACTTGTACAGGAATGTTCATAGTAGCGTTATTTATAATGGCCCAAAAATGGAAAACAACCCAAATATCTATCAACAGATGAACAGATAAATAAAATGAGGTATATGTCCATACAACAGATTATTCGGCAATAGAAAGGAATGAGGTACTGATATATTACAATATGGACGAATCTGAAAACATTTTGCTGAGTGAAAGAAGCCTGTCATGAAAGGCCAAATATTATACAATCCCATTGTCCATACGCAAATCTATAGAGATGGAAAGTAGATCAATGGTTGGCTAGGGCTGGGGAGTAAAGGGGGAAATAGGGAGTGACTGCTATATGAAGGATTTCTTTCAGGGTAATGAAAATATTCCAAAATTGACTATCATGATGGTTGTACAACTTTGTGAAGATACTAAAAAATCACTGAATTATACAATGTGGGTAAACTGCCTGGCATGTGAATTATATATCAATAAAGCTGTTTTAAAATAAATAAATATCAGACTTCTGAAATTACTAGATGGGGGTGGATTTGCTATAATCCACACTTTTTTTCGAAGTAGCTAAATAACCATCTTGTTTGAAAAGGATTTTATGTGAATTATAAAAGTAGCTACAGTTTGAACTATAACTTAGCAAAACTTATAATTCTTCTACTTACTTAACACAAGGATTAACGGTGTAAACTTGTGCTATACAAAGCACTGCACTATAGTATGAAAAGGTACAAAGATAAGGTGTTCCCTGCACTCAAAAGAACAAATCCAGAGAGAATGACACACAGAAACACCTAACTATAATACTCATCAGAATGCAGTAAAAAGCAAATTGTAATGGAAACCCAGCAAAAGGAGTAATTGATCCCCTCTAGGGAAACTTTAAGGTCAAACACTAAGCTTCTCAAATCTAGTCCTTAGTGATTTGAGTACATGATCAACAGAGCCCAAGAACCAATGTGCTTCATTGTATCAGCAGGTGGGTTACACTCTAATCACCTTCAAATGGAGTTATGGAGACTTTTCTACATCCCTTCACTGGAGGAGCTCTATATTGAGATGAGTTGAGTTGACCAGACTGCACGAGGAAGCTGCTATTTATGGATAATGATAGTTCACAGAGAGCTCTACCACCAACAAACATGTAATGACCATTTCACATCTATTACAGAGGGCTGCCTCCTTGTATCTTGCTGTTCTCAACTACAGAAATGTAAGAAGAATGAAATTTTTATAAAGACAGTTGCTACATGAGGTTGCTAAAAGAATACAATCATAAGGTCTGAACTGAATGCAATACTGGCCTATTTCTACATTCCTACTATCTATCATCACTCCACACAGACATAGGCAAATATGTACTGAACACCTCCTATGTTCCAGAAGCTGTGAACATAGCAATGAACTAGATCAGATATATATAATCTCCATACATATGGACTTTATAATCCAAAGGATAAATTTCAAGATAATTCATTGTTCCTAAAATTGTGAGTACACTCAAATGTAGCTCTATCAAACTAAACTGAATCTTCAATCTAAATGTTTCGCCTTTCATTGGGAGTTATACCTGATGTAAATGACGAGTTGATGGGTGCTGACAAGTTGATGGGTGCAGCACACCAACATGGCACAAGTATACATATGTAACAAACCTGCCCATTATGCACATGTACCCTAGAACTTAAAGTATAATAATAATAATAAAAAACAAAAAAATAAAGAAAAAAAGGAAAAATAAATAAATAAATAAAATAAGCATCACATTTAAAAAAAAAAATGTTTTGCCTTCTCTGAGAGTTGTTCCCCACACTC